GTTTTTGCATGCAGAAATGGGACAGTCCAGAATCGAATCACTTGTGGATGAACAGGAAGGACATGACAATTTGTGTGTAGGGCTTGATGGGCTTGCAGCTTGCGGCTTCCGGGTTTGTTTTTGGCGGGCCTTCCGTGATTCATCACAAGGCTTCAGGATATAGGCCTTTCCAAGGTGACGAGCTGGGAGCTTGCGTCTTCATGCTTCAAGCTCCCAGAATAGGAAAGTCTTGAAAGTGTATGCCCCAACCCATCCAGGCCTCCAGGCCTCTCAAATTGCTGAAAGAAGCTTGCACCAGACAGAAATAAACGGCTCAAGCAGCGTTCTTGCCAGAGCTGTACGAGCTCGTCGGCTTCTGCCTGCAAACCCGCTGCACTCTAGCTCTAGGCCGTTGTAAACAGATTCAGCTTTTGTAAGGAGTGTGCGAGATACGCAACAAACCTCGAGTATTGGTGGTGTTCAGACGTTGAGCCGATGGTGGGTAAGTGCACACTCAGGGCACTGCAAAGCTTTCACGGTTTTCGCAAGGGCCCTGAGCGTGCACTGACTTCACTAAGACTGGAACGTCAACAGATCTCGGACATTTCTTAGCACAATACCCCCGAAAGATGTGGGCGCTTGAACTTCAAGCAGCGCTCTGATTTTTACGGCAGATTTAAACAAAGATTTAAGAAAGTCAGGTGAAAAGAATAGAAGACAGCCGGCCGTTCGGCCTACCTTCGACTGGACCCAGTGGTTGAAGCTCCACCCAGCCGGTGCCATGGGAGGAGCCTCCGCCCGGCCAGCGCGCGGTGGCGCGAGCCAGGCCTTCGTACTTGAAAGTCTTCCCCAGGCCCACCTCCTGCTCAGGCCACTGCACCTCGAGCGAGACCTGGGCGTCCGGGTTCTTCATGGTCACGTCGTAGGACAGGTAGTAGCGGTCGTGGCTCGCCGGGCTCGTCCAGGGCTCTCCCTTCGGAGAGATCTTGACGTTGTCGAGCGTCCACGTCGTACGGTTCTCGCCGCTTCCCTGGAAGAGGCTTGCTTCTTGGAAGACACCGTCGGCTGTGTCCACCGCAGTGATCATCATCGCGGATTTGACATCGGGAAACTGCAGGGCGAAAAATTGCCAGCTCACGTTCTTGAGGAGTGCCTTGCCCTTGTCGTCGTAGGTCTGGACGACGTAGTCGGACCAGAGCATTCCAGATTTTCCGGAATCGACGACCTTGCCCGCCTGTTGAATCTCAAAACTCTCCACCTGAAGGAGCGGCATTGAAAAGTAGTAAGAACCCTGGCAATCCAGGGTCGCATTGGGCGTCCCGGCCAAGTACCGGTCGACTGCCCCGCCAAACTTGGAATTTGCCGCATCTCTCTGCTCCTTCGAGAGCCAGTTGGGCAAGAAGCCATCGGGCCCAAAGCCCTGGCGCACGACGCCCATCATGTCCTTGAAGCGCACCACGATGTCGAAACTCTTCTTCTTGGAGTGGAGCTTCAGGTCGTACTCGACGCCTGCCTCTCCGGGAACCGCGCTGTCTCCGACGGCGGAGACGGAGAGTTCGAAGCCCGTAAGCAGCGAGGAGGACTGGGCGGTCCAAGGCTTCTTCCCATCGCCTCCTTCCACGGTCGCGCTGACCGTCACGCTTGCATCGAGGTCGTAGGTTTGGATGGTCTTGGTGTTGAAGCCTCCACCAAGTTCGTAGACCGGCACGATGGAGAGGAAGGGCGGGACCTTTTGAATGAGGAATGTCAAAGCATAGGTATCCTTGGCACCGACGAGTCCTCCAAAGAAGCAGTAGGCATTAACACCGCGCTCCTTGTGGAGGCTTCTGAAAAACCCGAGTGTGTCGAAGGTCGCTGTCGGGCTATACTTGCAGCACTGATCGGCTGCTGCGCTGCAGCATGGCGCAAAGGCCAGTATGGCGAGCGCGGCGTAGCGACAGCCGCTGGACGTAAACATCCCTGCTTAAGAACCAGGAACACGATGAAGAGAGAAGCAGCAGCTACGAGCAAAAACGGCGTTCAGAAATAGAGAACAAAGCTGGTCCTCCTAGGTCCTCCTCATGCACAAGCCCATGGTGCACTTGGCAGGGTGGCTGAACATTAAAGTCGCTAAAAGTCGCTAAGAGAGGCCCCTCCCAACCTCCCAGCCCAATCACCGCAGAGGCCTGCGTCTTGGCGCCGACCAGAAGCCGATCGCCTTCGTGCAGCTCTACAAAGCGGCCGTCGCCTGGTTCCAGACACCGATTATTTTCTTTAATTTTCTTTGTCGGGGAGAGGGGGGGGGGGGCCTGCTGTAACCTGCAGGGAGCAAGTCATCATGGTGCGGTATGTGCTGTAATAGGACATATAAGTCAAAGAAACACGAATCACGATTGTACTCTGTTTTAGCGTGGTTCGGATACATCCATGCTCATCCACTTCTTACTGCTCTGTCAAAACTCTCGTTGCTCTTAACTAATGTGGTTATCGTTCGTAGGACGATCGTGCTGGGTGCCATTGTTGTGCTGAATCCATTCCATCTTCATCCCCTCTTCCGCTGTGGGTCCGTAGAAGCACCGCATTTCCAAAAGTGATACATCCTCGTGAGGTGGCTCTGCAGTTTTTTGCCGAGGCCCGGGTCTAGGCGCAAAGAAATGAAACCACACTGTGACATTGAGTTACCAAACATGTTGAACCAATCATGTTGATTCCTTCCTGCTTCCATGATCAGATGCGCCCAACGTATCTGAGTTCCAGGTACTGTGTGCTTCTACCTGCGAAGACCCCAAATCTCCAACCTTCAACACTCTGAGTAGCAAACGTAATCCAAAGCCGAAGCCCCACGCCTTAGCTCCTTCTTCAATAGCACCTCTGTTTAGCCGCCAGCCCAGAAACCCGAAACCTTAAATCCGCCAACAAAAGAAACGAAGCCCCGCGTCCGAAAGCCCCAAAGAACCGCTGCACGGAATTTGCGGAAGTTTCACAGAACCCCTACCCGGAAGGCCTTAGACCCCCGCCCCCCCAGCGGGGTTGTTTTAGAAACCTGAAAGGAACCCGAAGGAACTTGTATCGAAACCAATTTAACTTTTTGGACCTCCAAGACTCTATGGAACTTTGGGAAGCACAATAAGACCCTATAGAAATCCCTGTAGCATCCTCCAAAGACCCTATAGAAATCCCTGTAGCATCCTCATAAGACCCTTTTGATATCCCTGTAGCATCCTCATAAGACCCCAAAGCCCTCCACATCCCCACATGGCACCCGAAGCGGCCTGCATCCCAGCGCTCGACCAGAGCCTCGCCCAGGTGGGCTTGATGTCGGGTTTAGGGTTTAGGGGTTAAGGGTTTAAGGTTTTAGGGTTTAGGGGATAAGGGTTTAAGGTTTTAGGGTTTAGGGGTTTAGGGTTTAAGGTTTTAAGGGTTTAGGGTTTTAGGGTTTAGGGGTTTAAGGTTTAAGATTTTAGGGTTTAGGGTTTTAGGGTGTAGGTGGATCTTGCTTGATTGAAGCCTTTGTATAAGATCTGATTAATATAAGACTTTAGAAAATCGCAAAGGGAGTTCCCTTAAGGTTGTGTAACTAAGTTGTGTCAAAAAAGGAGATGAAGCGCTTCAAGGCTTCAAAGGGTTCTTGGGTTAGTCATGGCGGTTTTGCACGATGTTGGCTAGGAGTGTTTAAGGGGTTTGACATGTTGACGGGTTTAGGGTTCTGTGAGTGATCGTTTCCGGGTTAAGGGTCGCTGCAGCTTGGTTGCTGCAGCCCTTGGTTGTTTGATCATGACTGACACTGAGCCCTGACCCTCCCCCCAAACGCCAAACCCAAGCGAATCCTACCGTCGAGGCACTTGCAACATGAGCCCGAACCGAGTCGAAAGTACTTCGGTTCTTTAAAGATTTGATTGACCGATTGATTGTCTGAATGGCATTTACCCCGTTTGGATATTAACAACTCTATTTGCTGCTTCCTGTTCAATGTGATGACGATGGTGTGGTGATGATGACGATGCTGGTGATGATCGCAATTATTGTCATCATCGTCTTCAGCATTCCCGCAATCATGATAATTACTTGTACTTTTCTTCGTGGCTTGTTATGCTGGTCACGTTGGTGCCGTCTGTTCATGATAATATGACAGACCCTATGATATCCTATACATGGCGATCTATTCTTGTGGCAAGGCGCATACCACAAACCGTATCAAACCCCGAAAGAGTCTTCTTGAGCCTGATCCCTTTGAGCCGTATGGTCCTAGAGTCCTAGAGCCCCAGCAGAAAGGCTTTAGGCTGTAGCGTCCCCTACAGATGGCAAAGAATCCTGCAGAAGCAAACGGTCGAAATCTTGCACACCTCAGTTCGATTGGGGCCTCCGGTTTCAGCTGGACTCGCACGGTGTCGTGCGCTTTCTCAAAGGGGACGCATGCGCGGCAGTCCAGCATCGTCAACCTCAGTTTGTTGGATTGCTGGGGTCCGGAACCTGAGGCACAAGCTTCAAGGTGCAGCTCAAAGGTTCAGATCCCTTTGTTTCGAGAAGTCCCATACATAGAACAAGCTCGGACAACCGCGTGCAAGTTCCTCTGTTATTTATGAGACTTTAGGAGTCTATCTGTATTTACATGTCTACTCGATACTTTACCCGTGTACTCCCTCTAGACACTGAAAGCCCTTCGTCGTCGTGCATGTTTTTAAACATCGACGGAAGGATCACGGATGAAGAGTCACGACGAGATCCAACGGCAGTCTGTACCTGAGAGCCCAAAACGCATATCCAAAGCCCATCACCCAAACCCACAAATTTGAAAACACGCCCCTAGACAGCAAGACCCCAATGCCCAAACCACCCGAAAGTCCCTCACGAAACTCAGTAAATGCAAGGCCCCCTCGGGCCAGAGCTGGGTCCCAAGGATGAGCGGAGCTTGGCTGTTGCTCTGAGCCCAAATGCGCGCACGAGGCTGTGGCAGACGAAGCTCGGATAGAAGACACCCCTTCCTCCGTATACTCAACGCTGGCGACCCCAGACGCTCCAAACAAGCTCTCCACCGGCTGTACCTCCTCCTGCCGCCGCTGCATGGCTTTCCTGGAGATGGCTTTGTCGTGCCAGAAACGATACAAATAGCTTGAAACATCGGGCACCTGCATCTGCCTCCTGTAAGGGGCCTTGGCAACTAGCCTTGGTAATTGGAATTCGGTTTTGGATATGTCCCTGCCGCCCGCCTTGTTCAGTTCAGTCCGATGGCTTTCAGAGACCCTGCAAAGCTCACCCGGCACCCGAAGTCCGGAAGCTTTTGCAAAGCCCTCAAACCAAAGCAAACTCTGAACCTTTGCCGCACCTTAAAGTCTGAACCTGACTACCATAAACTGGGCATCTAAGTAACCAGGGAGCAAAAGGTATATACGTTTATTTCATAATGGCTCCTTTAAGAAAAAGTATTAAAGAATGGTACTCCGAACCTCAGTAAAAGAAAAATGCAGGGATATCCCCTGGCCTGGCCCTCACTGCCCGCACCTCTGCAGTGCTTGCGGCCTCGCAGTTCCAACAGCTGGCTTTCGATTCAAGAATCCTTAAGATGTGAATCAAAGCTAGGGCTCCATAAAGCTTCTGTGAGGACTGTATCGGGGCTGTTTAAGCAAATCTTCGAGGAGTCCGCACCAAAACTTTGAGTGTTGGGATATTTAACTCAAGAGACTGGAGTGAACGTTTGGCTGTTTAGAGTTTAGAGGTTTAGATGCGGTTGAACGGCTTCTCTGGTTCAAGGCTGATGCTTGCGACAAGCGAGGAATGGTAGTGCCAAAGTTGCGGGCGAGGATGGAGACCGTCGTGAAGGTGTAGGGCTTTGACCCTGAAAACTTAAATCCCTGTAATGGCCGAAGCCGGGTGCAAGTAAGGACCTGAGACCCGTCGTGTTTCTCTTGCTTCTCCTTTCCTTAGCTTCTTGTTCCCTTTCCATGGCCTCGATCCAGCGCTTGTCCTCGTCGCTCAGCTCAAGTGCCTCACAATGAAACTGGGTCGGTGGCACACTCAGATCAGAACTCAGAAGTAAGCATCCCAACATGACGCCCGTCATGCAGACGACATGGCTGTAGAACAGCTACGAGACATGCCTCTAGACTGGAGGGGTTGGTCCAGGGTCCGAGTAATCATAAGAAGGGGTGGGGGCATCGCTTTTTTGATCAGGCTAGAGCAACAAGTCCGGTGTTCGTGATAGTTACTGCAGAGCGAAGGCATACTTTTGCTCGCTCGTGGTACAGGTTTTCCTGGCATCAGCTAGGCCTCCATATCCTTGTCGAAAGAAGTTGCGTGCTGGCACTTTGCACGTGCTGCTCGTCTAGAAACAAAAGCGACATACAACACCTCTGAAACAAGACAGCATGTTCAGATCATAGAGGGAAACACAAAATGTTACGAGGAACAAAGAGCGCTCGGAGGCACATAAGGATCCCAATGCCTGTAGCGGCCACCAGCTCTATATGATGACGCGAAATAGATTCTCAATGTCAAGGTCGCTATCAGACACATGTCCCTCAATCCAGTTGGCCCTTGCCTTGCGGTCAACGGCGGCAGAGGCCTTTGTCGGACATTGAGGGCCCTAGGGCTTTGTGGCTGTACGTACTGCTGCAAGTCTATATGATGTATGTGAAAGACAGGGTATGCACTTCGCGAGAGATGGAGATACAAACGCACACATTATGGGACTACGGACACACGAGTGGATGTGGATAGCGGTGGCAGAAAGATTTCCTTCCCCCATGCTCTCTGAATGTCTCTGAGGCACCCTCTACGTCGATTCTACGTACACCCTATCATCCTCCTGTGAAATATCTAGAAACTCCTTACCACTTCGAGGCCCAGTGAGCCCGCGAGGCCTCACTCCGAAACCTTTGAGCTTGGGGCACACTCGGCCTTACACCCCAGCACGAAGGCCCGGTGAGCCCTGCAGAGTTGCGTATGTCTTCGGCACTAAAATCCCCAAGCCAAGCCCTTTTCTCCCGAAACAACTTCCGGCAGTTTTCTTCGGGCGCCGAGCGTGAAGGGATTTGGATCTCTGCAGGTGGCGCTCGACGGCCTGTTGTTCCTTGCGCTTCCAGCGCGACTTCAGCAGTAGGAGTAGTAGTAGCAGGAGCAGTAGTAGTAGAAGAAGACTGGGCCGTAGTAGTAGACTGGGCCCACTCGCGCCGCCACTGTTTCCAGTATTTTGCGCTCGGATGTTCGATAATGCTTTCATCTTTCTTCCGGAGGGGTGGGGAGGGGCCTTAATGACGTGCTTGCTGCTTGCTCCACCACAGCTAAGCTCGAACAAGAAAACAACCTCGGGCTTCTGCTACAGGTCGGGGACTGCACTTGCGATGGGCTCTTAATGTACAGCAGAGCAATGAAGTTGGTTGGAGGGAGGTGGCTCAGTAGATGGAGCGAGTGCCACTGTATGTCGTGCCCAGCAATATTTGCTAAAGTTTGTCTACTTCCATGTTGGGCTTAAATGGCACCGGGGGCTTCGAGGAGGAAATCCCGCATCCTGTTAACGACACTGTACAATGTTTGAGGCTTCGGGTATAGGGAGGCCCGCAGAACCATCCATCAGGCAGCACTGCAGTCAATCGCTGCAAGTTGTTTCGCTTCAGCTCGCCACAGCGAGGTCTCCACAATTGCTAGAGTTCGTCATGCTCGTCTGTACAGAGGCCGCCTTGTTCAAATAATTTCTTGCGCAGCTTCAAAACTCTCCCTAAGGGAAGCCCAAGGCTTTGAAGATCTGACTTTTCCGCATCACAGATCGTTTGGGTGTCAAACCGGGCGTCCATCAGCGGCTCGACCTGACACAGATTTCACAAGTCTTTTTCCAGACAGAATTTTGATCATGTTCACATTCTAGCAGACGACACGTTCGTTCTAGGCTTGCGTGGTTCTCGAACATTAAATTATCCCTGCGAGAAACATGGCAGGGCCACCGCATCGTCAAAATCATTGGAAAGAAGATACGCTCGCAAGACCTCCTCGTCTTTGTTGAGCATCATAAAGACTTTCTGATCAGCCTCGGTTGGGCAGATGTGGACGCTGCTTCCCGAATCAAACACTCGCTTTCGCACAGCTTTAGACGTTGAAGCGACGGGTAGCAAAATCAATCGCTCGATGGCAGAAGAACCAGTCGACGGCTGCTCCAGCAACCGCTCCCGCTGCAGAACCCACCAGCGGGATCATCTTGGAAAGCGACATCAAACCTGCGACGACAGGACAGGAGGGGGGCTGCTGGGCCGGGTACAACCTTAACCTATGCAATTGGATTGACATCCCACGTGATGTCTTCACAAGCCAACAGTTGAACAGAATGCTGCATCACTGAGGTGTGCTGTTGAGTTGAACGCCGAACGTGGTAAGCCCGTACTCCGACAAGGGTCCGTCACAACATTTACTTCTCCCATCAGCAATGTAATGTAATCCCTAACACCCTAAGCCCCGGCAGCTGCGTCCTCGTGGGCCCTTCGTGATCAAACTCCGGCCAATGACAGGCCACACTTTCCTACGCGAACAGGGTGGAATTCAGAGGGGAAATCAGACTTCTAACAAATGCATAATAGAGAGACAAGGTGACTGCACCAGACACGCGAACCATAGCCAAGACAGAAAAAAGGAGCGGTGGCAGATATCTAGCTGCTAGCTTCAGGGCCAAGAAAGGCAGCTTGGGCTACTTTCTGCCGCCGGGCTTCTTATTAACTTGTCTCAAGAACTGGTTTGGGATGCTCTTGAGAGCTCTTTTGCCAGCTGCAGATCCCCCACTTTTGGCTGCCAGTTGAGCAGCCCCCTTCATGAGTTCTGACCCAGCTTCACCGGCGAGTGACCACCTCAGGTAGCACACGATCAAAACCAGAATCCAAAGGCTCTTATCCAAACGCTCAGCCGTTCAGTCGCACATCCGCGCACGCTGAAAAGCTGAATGAATTGCATTGTGGTATCGCTAAGCGGGCGGGGCACAGGATCAAACTTTGGGTCTTCTCGTCCTGCACATCATATCCACGTAGTTTGGCGACGATACAGGCTCCTTGTGCCTTAGCTGTCGCGTGTAAGCCTGTGGCAAACCTAGAGTCGCAAAGCGTGCACAGCCAACTCAACCAATGCCACCACAGGCACTTGCAACAAGAATCCTCCAGCCAAACTGCTCCCCATATCCAACCCTGGAACGGGAATGGCCCCAGACACTGCGCCGACGAGGGCGTTCCAGTTGCACTGGTCATTTTTGGCTTTCGCCACATACTCATGGCGTGTCAGCTCTCCCAGGTCGTTAGCATGGCACCAGCGCTCACATGGGGCAATGATTCTGCTCTGTAAGTTGGATTCCCACAGCTGCTTGAGCTGCTCGCCCAACCCCGTGTCTGAAGATGCAGAGGAATTGGTGAAGTTATCGAACATGTTGAAGCTGGAATTTAACTTGTGACCCGCGTAATCCAGGACATGTTGAGCCATGCTCATGAGTTTACTCCAATCGAAAGCTGAATTTCGCGACGAATCACTTCCCGAGGATCTCCGCCGTGCGCCCTGTTTGGCTTTGGCGGCTTTGGCATCAACGCCGTGACAAACGACACATATCAAAATCAATACTTTCAAGCCTGCTGCTGCCATGGCACAAGCCCGTCTTAAACAAAGCTTGCCAGGCACCTAAACAAGACCGACCTAAGGCGGAATAACAAACTTCAAGGCAGGCTGCAGCCGAAATCCACGGATTTGGAGTTGAGGGTTTTGGGGTTTCGGGTTTGCACCTTAGGGTTACTGGTTAATTCCGGGCTTATGATGCTACCTCAAACATCGAGGTGATCCTGGCACCTCCTCCAACACTATGCTGTTCCGCGTCACATGCAGCCTGGCAAAAATTGACTTCAGCAAGACTTCGCGAGTATGTGCGCCAAAGTCCCATCCCTGCCACACTACCAACTCCCAAAATGATTAAAGCCGAAGCGGAAAGCGTTCCCTAGGGCCCCACCCGACGCGGAAGGCGCTCGCAGGACATGCTTCGCCTCGGCTTCCGCACATGTCTACAACCCTGATGAAGCCCTGAACCCTAAACCCTACGGAAGCCTAGAGACAATTCGGTTTGGGCACCTATCTTCAAACTTCCTTTGATACTAGGCCGAGGCGATTGCGTAGGTGTAATGACATTCACAGAAAACGAAGGAACCTCCAAAAAGTTGAACACCATCAGGGTTTCGGGCTTGCGTTTCTTGCTTAGGGTTTAGCCTAAATCTTGACCTAAATCGTTTTGAAAAGAGCCCGAAGGTACTTTAGACGAAACTCTTTATCACAACATGACCAGTCTGTCAGGAACTGTCTCAATAATTGAGCTGGTGCATGGGACCATCTTGGGTACAGAGCCTAGCTAGTATGCTTCTCGTGTCCTACCATACAGGTTTTGAAGCCGGGCGAGTTATCCTGCCTCTACTTCAAGGGACCAGTTTTGGGCTCCAGTGCAGGATCCATAACGTGCCGACGTGTCCTGCTTACCTACCGACCTACAAATCGAATCTATCCGTTCATCTGTTTGTCTACCTATCTACCTGTCTGTCTATCCATTTTTCCATCTATGCATCCATCCGAATCTAGGTATGGGTCTTGGGTAAGGTCCAACGGAACATACCATACCATACATACCTATGTACGTGCATACATTGCATTACATTGCATTATATTACGCCACATTACATTGCTTTGCATTAATGCATACATACATATATGTCTGTATACACGAAGGCACAAGAAGATCTTGTTGACATATCTTAGTCTTGTTGGAAAGACAGACAAGGAGAGGTGGAAAGACAGACACCGAGATAATTTGTGCCTAAAATCTGCGCTCAAACACTTGCGAAAACAAAAGCCCGTAACTCGGAAGAACCCGACACTTCTTCATTGAATTGAGGAATTTATCTTCAAGTACACAGGGCTTCGCGTCGCGATTGAAGCAATGATACTCAAAGAAGTTCTGAGTCAACCAAACCCCTATACTCTGAACATATGGGTGGTTGTCAAAATTAGGGTCCCTTTTTGGGTCCTTAATATAATATGGCACCTAATATTTAGGGTAATTACCCAAAAAGGGACCATAATTTTGACAACCACCCATATACACCCAAGAGCCGTAAAACATTCTAAGGCCCCGAACGCATCGCCGCCCCGCCGGGATCCGGAGGAGCTGCGGTGCCTCGCGGGTTTACGCGTAACGGCTTGGGGGTGTGGGGACTGAGGGCGCGTAGCATTTGGGGGTATTAGGGACTGGGGGTTGTGGGGTGGGGTTCAGGGTATAGGGGCTTCCGAGGCTTAGTGGACTTAAGGATGTTAGTTTAGTTTTGGGCACTTTTTCTGATGTATCCGCAGTGATTTAGGGGCTTGGGTTGTCGGGAGTGTGCGAGGAGTGACTAGGGTAGGACTTGAGAAATTAATGTAGGGTTTTAGGTAGAGTGCCTAAAACATCAGCCGGCATTCGCCCCTAAATTTGATCCCAACCCTACATTCTCGCAGGAAAAAGCCAACCGCTTTCAAGGGGCTCTAGAGTCTCACGTTAGGGTCTGAGGCAGCGGTCAAGCGGACTAGGGACAGTAGATTTGCCATGCTGTACGGCTGTACGTAGATGCGGGGCCTAGCAAGTCAAGTCTTTTTGCTTCGCCGGCTCGGAAGCTCCGACGAAGGTGGCCCTTTCAGAACGCACCGGCTTCTCCCTCTGGGAGGCCTTGGGCCTCGGAGGTTACGCGGCATCCATCTCCGGGGTTCCTGCGGGCTCTTTCGGCGCGGGCCGGCCGGAAAGCCCTCTTCTGCAGACTTGGACCATGAGCGACGCCGTCCGGAACAGGTTCACGACCAAGACGGAGCCCAAGAGGAGGTACCTTGGCTTCTTGTGGAGTCTTTTGGCTTAGGTGGACACCGAAGGACATACGGAGGGTGTCCATAAAAGAAAGGTCATTCCCGACAGGACTGCGGTGCCACACTAAGGGGTAGATCGTGGAAAAGGTCACGGTGAAGCCTCCGTCCTGCACAGCCAGATCTTCCTCCAGCATAATCATCACTCGTCGGATGATCACGAAGGTGCTGAAACCTGAGCTATCGGGATGAAGGATGAGCTGATCATTGCATCGACAACAACGCATGTCCAGCCGGCTAGGGCTAGGGCTCTAAGCACCAAGCCTGGATGCCTCGGGCTGCAACAGACTGACGGAACAAAAATGGCGATCAAGCAGCCGAGGATGATGTTCGTTGCGAGGAGGTGAGCGCTCATGAAGACCTCCGGTTACAGGGGCTTTTCTTGAAGGTGAGGAAACTTCAATCCACAAGGCCATCAGCAACGCTCTCTTCTTTCAGCACATCTTCGGATGCTACCGCGGGTGGAAGAAAAGGTTGCACGTGGCAGACGCAAGACGACGAAAGACCATGCCTTCCACTGAATCTGTCTCAGCAAATTGTGCAGAGACCCAAACGACATAAGAAGAATAAGCAGAAGAACAATAATTGTAACAGTAATAACAATCATGATAATCATCATCTCAGTCACAACCACAATAATAGCAACAATACACGTGCACGCACCTGCAGTTCATGCAGCTAGTTTTCAAGCCAACATCGTCACTAGCCAACACCAAGGCACGTTGAAAATGTAGCTGTGCTCGTCCACAAGCGGCATATCCTTAGCTTCTTCCTGCAGTCCCCTTGGAGACCACATCACCAGAATACAAGTTTGGAGGTTGTAGGGAACGGGGAGTCTGGAAGCGTGGAAGGTCAAGACCAGCTGACAGAACTGCTATCTGCTATCTGCTGACATCCAAGTTCTACAGCTTAGAGATTGTGCTGATTGGCATTGAAGACTCGTTGCAGACGTATGCACCATACTACGCTACTACGGTGTTGTGAAGCCCCCAACCAGAAGAGGCCCAACGGAATCAAACAGCCAAAGCCTAACTAGCACGATATGAGAGAACATGCCCAACGTTGCTGGGTTGCTGTAGTTGTGGCCAAGTCTCAATAAGCATCTGAATTGGCCACCACTCCAGAAATACGAGCTCTCGCAGACCCGTCAGGAAGGAACCAGGCGCCTCTCAGCAGAAGATCGGGTGACCAGACCACTTGACGCTCGACTGCCTTCGTCGGTACCCTTAGGGCTCAGTTAGGGGATTGAGAGTCTAAGCGGCTCGAACGTTCTCGTCACATCAGTCCTGCATTTTGGCGGAAGCGCGTTCATTCATTCATTCATTCATTCATTCAGGAGTTTGGCCAGGGTGATGATTAAATTGCCTCGCTGGCGTCTCTTTCAGGAATCTGCGTCATGCGAAAAGGTTGTTGATGTTGATGACGAGAATAATTAGCAGAGTGGTGCAATCAATGACTAGTAACTAGTACACACACACACACACCCACGCACGGCAAGATGCGACACTTCAAGAGCTAATCAGCTAATCTTGTCGACATCTGGGCAAGTGTATTGATGCCGGAGGCCGCAAGGAGTCAGAGAAAACCGAACTCTGCAGCCCGAGGAATGTGGCTCATGCCGATGTCAAATTCTATACATGCGCCGCCTATGACAATCCTCCACATCACCCATAGTAGGCACCGCCTCGGCGATTGGTGGCTCATCATCTTCATCTATGTCGCCCAGCTGCCGGCAGTGGCGCTCCTGGTAAGGGTAGCAGACTAGCATGCATGCAGCTGTCCTGTAGTTGGCCGCTGAAGCGGTGGAACATTTGTAAGAAGTGCTGTGGGTGTACCTCTACGAGTAACATAACCGAGGTCTCTGTACACATGCACTTCGAACCAGTGACCGCGGGAAGCATGATGCTCTTGCGTCACTCTGCACAGCACGCGTTCTTTCTCGCTACGAAGGCTTCTGGGGGACATGGGTGGGTAACATCAGACCGCTCAAGACTCTAAGTTGTCCGGCTTGGCCTGCTGCTGCTGCTGCTGCTGCTGCTGATGCTGCTGCTGCTGCTGCTGCTGCTGCTGCTGCTGCTGCTGCTGCTGCTGCTGCTGCTGCTGCTGCTGCTGCTGCTGCTGCTTCGATTACGGCTCGATTACTTACCTTTGGTTAGTAGGGAACAGAAGAATGGTAGCAATAGTAGTGATAATTGTACCCCATTCCTCCATTCCCTACTAACCAAAGGTAAGATTACTGCTCCTGTGTTCTACTACTGGCATAAGGCAATACAACAGTCCCTGAACAGTCCTGGAGGATGCTCCGCAGCTGGACGCAGACCTCCTCGAAGGTGCAGGCATCCAAGCGTCGATCCATGATTTGCCTCTGGTCTTGGACTTTATTCCAGAAAGCAGCATGGCATAGCTGCGGTTGAAAGGTTTAAGCAGTCAGACAAGGATGCTGAGTTGTGAGCGCAACTCAACTTGCAGCACTTTGCACGTCATTGGGAGTCGAGGTGGACTCACTGCTAGGGTGTATGTCCGGCACAGCGCAGTCCTGTTCGAAAGAACCCTCGAAGCTCAGTTCATCTGTCGGGTCTTTGGGGTTGGGCTTGAGCATCTTCCGTGCAACCCAGCTGCCTCACAGCAGATCTCATGACGTCCTCCTTGACGTGTAGATACCTGGTGGTCTCAAGGCTCCGGTGATGGATAGTACATTAGTACATCATCGTCGTCCCGTGAACCGCCATGACAAAGTAGCAGCACAGTTCAGGCCTCCCCTGAAGCCAGAAAGAGAAAAGCAGAAGACATGGCATCTCTATCGGCTACGCGGAGGCTGTGAAAGCACAACCAACATTCCGGAAACGTTCGAATCCCACGTTCGTGGGCATTGCGAACCGTGCTAGCGTGATCAAGTTGTGGATAGCCGCAGGAACGTGTTTAAGCCATATGAGTTCATTCCATGATCCCACTCGAATGGAGGCCTTGAGACTTCGTGTTAAAAAAAACCATGTTGGGCCGTTGTAGTGCCTAGGCTCAAGAGGAGGACCACCCTGAAGTTCATAAACTCAACAGCAGCGCAGGGCCCAGGGAAGTGCCGAATGAAGCCCGGCGACTTCTCCAGCTCCCGGTACCGCGCACAGGGCTTGCTGGCAAAGAAGAGGCCCATTGGCACGAGCCTGAGAGGGATTGGGGTTTAGGGGTTAAGGGGTATAGGGGTTTGTGGGTTTTAGGGGATTAGGGTTTGGAGTTCAGCTTTTGCTGCTTGTGTTGAGGACTTATGGAGTCTACGGCTTCGCGTACAACTCCCTGCGTTTACAAGGCTTGCTTCCCTGAGATCGGAGATTGAGGCCTTTGGTTTCGGGCTGAAGATTCCGATCTTGCGGTGCTTGGTTCTAGAGCGTTCCATGAGGATGAAGCCCCGGGTTTCAAAGTGCACGGAGTGTTCAGACTTTGGCGAATCGATGCTTCGTCTTCCAATATACTTACAGGCGGGTCGGGGTGTGTTCGGAGGGTGATTTCAGAGTTCAGATTTGCTGGCACGGCGGCTGGATTTTACTCAAGTCTGGCTGCAAAAAGATCGCACACTTGGCTCCTATGAGAACCCTGTTTGCTGGCATATAACAAACAATTGGCAGATATAACAAGCAATTTTTACAGTGCCACGCCCGAACGCTGCTTGAACCCTAAACCCTGCTGGGCCAACCCCGAAGTTGCTAAGAAGCCTCGAATAGTCAGTTTGCCAAGCTGGTTGACTGCTAAACCTGCCGAATGCATACGTCAAGAACACGTACTTAATAATCTTAATAGGGTTTTGGGACCCATTATACTAGAATTATAATAAGGCACCCCCAAAATAGTATACTTGTACTAGGTACAGGTACACACGAGGACCCAGTCTGCGGGCTCAGGGAGCTCCTCATGAGTAGGCAATCCTGTCCTTAGCCTTAGAGACCCGCATTCATCCACTAAGGGCTACACGCGCAGCCCGGCTATCCAAGCCTGTTGACTATTGAGGCCAGCTGCTCAGCTACGAAGTCATCCATGGAGAAGAGGAAGACCAAACTCAGTGTGCCTTCTGCTGGAGTTGCGTAGCAATACGGGTTCCACCCTCGTCTCCCTCTGAGGGTTGCCTCTAAGGCGAAGCATAAGGCACAAGCTTCGGGCTCTGCAGACACATTTCTTTCGGTTTCAAAGCCCCAAGCCCAGCCTGGGACGATGTACTGCACGGCGAGCTTGGTAGCTTCCAAGATGAAGGTGCCTTGAACCATCACTGGCTGATGAACTCAGAACGCAGTTGGCCGTTTCCCCCGGGGGGTCAAGGATTGCTTTTGGAAAGCCTCTTGAAGGTAACAGGCCTTTGCTGCCCCCTGCCATACCGCACCCTGAACTGCAGAAGGATCCTGCACCCGAGAAGCAGGTTAGCTCGAACCGACCGAACCTCGGACCGCTTAAGTCTTGATAGCCACCCCCACGGAAGGGTGCTTTATCTCACTATAAAGTGAAGCCCTCAAGACAAATCTTAAACTCAAAAGACTTGGGAAACCAGTTCGATCGAGGCTCGGTCTTTCTCCAGAGAGCTTGGGTCGTACAGCAGATCCTTCGAGCACTCGAATTTATTCATCATCTCAGTCTGATGGGATTTCGGGGCGGGGGGGGGGGCATCATGGAGTTTCCGGGCTGAGGCGAGAAACCAAGCACAGGATCTCCGAATGCATAAGCCAGAAACTATGCCAAATCTGAAGCTTGTGGTATTTTGTAACATGCAGCACAAGAGTAGCTATGACAATTACAGGCAAGGAGTGTCTGCTGAAAGCTTACAACACTCCCGGCGGATGCTTCCTGTCTCCTCTGATCTATTCCATCGTCCGGGAAAGCGCTTTCGAAGTCAGTTAACTACCCGCCTTCTGTCAGGTCCTTAAGAGTGTTTAGGGTTTAGGGAAAAACCCAAATGAGTCCTTCCAGCTGGTGTTGAGGATGTGCTTCCCTTGGCAGGACTCGTCGTCACAGGGCTTCCCAAATACCACCTCGGGTCAACAGCTCCCATCCGATCCTAAAACCCTGTGCTTGCGACCCTTCCATGTCTCAATCTTGACAAGATTTGAGGTTGCCAGGTTCTTAAACAGCCGCTAGATTCACACTGGGATGGGATCTTACATTTATCCAGTTTCCGGCATTGGTCACCAGGTGCTTGAAATCACAGGGGCCGATGGTTAAGCAGATGGGTGGTCGAACCGCTTTTTTGGGGTACAGCCCTTACCACACTTAGCACCCTCAGACCATTTCAGACCCCCTTGGAGCTGAATCGCCCCAACCCCCAAATTATGAACCCTACGTCCTCACGATTCCTGGGAGCCCTAAGACCCTTTGCAGCCTTTATCCCCAACAGCCGGGATAACCTTAAAATCAAAAAACCTTTGGATCTTGGGCCATGAGATCCAGGGCACCATGAGGCCGAAATGGGCGAGGGCATGTAGGAAGATTACAGAGAGGCCCATGCCGCACTTGAAGCCCAGGCGCCGCCCTGTCCCATCTACGGAGACGATGGGTTTTGGAATTGAGTTTGCAAGGTAAAGGCGGCATGGGGGATAGGATGTTTTTTCGCAGTATGGTATTTGGCAGTTTAGCGCTGAGGTTTCGTCGTGGAACAGCATATAAATAGCCAGAGATTACGACTACTTTGACATGTTCATTAGTTTTGGGTGGAAAACTGTCGAGCAGTCTAAACACACCTATGAGAAACAAGCCCTCACTGTCTTTAGTTACGAGAACCCGACTGCGAGGCAAATGAAGACTTCGCATTCCCGGCCTTCGCGGAAACTGATCATAATGCGGTTTCTCATCAGGACGTAGTACGCCCTCATGTGCAACATCTTCCACAAAGCCAGCCTTTGTCACAAGTAGCATTGATTTCCGGGGCTGCTGCGAGGCTTAGTGCTTCGAATCCCACAGTCGTGATCGCCAGGTCTACGCGTCTCCAGAGCACTCGTTGAAGCCATGTGGCCGCCCTCCCTATATGGGAGTTTCCGAAAACAGGGGACCCGAATGTAGTACCCTAAATAGTAGGATCCGTATTATAAGGACCCCAAAAGAAGGTACCCCTCATATTCGCAAACTCCCATATCCTCAAGACAGACCCGAAAGCCCCGAACCATTTTGCGGCCCAGGGCACAGCACCGGCAAAGAGAGGCCCAGAACCGGGAAGATCCTTACCGCCGGCGTCGTCCAGTCGCAAGCACTCTTCACTTGAAAGGAGTGGCCCTCGCCTTGGCTCAGAGAATCTAAGGTTTCAGGGTGGCTCAAGGAATTTTGGGGTTCCAGGGTGCTTTTTGTCTGTGGAGAGTTAGGATTTCTGCTGCTTTAAATTTAAGGCTTCTGTGGGAGCTTTGAGCTTTTAGGATGCAGGTTTGGGGCTATGGGTCTTGAGTTTCGGGGCTTCGGAGTTGAAGGGCTCACGGTCCCAAGAGCCTGCTGCAGGCTTTGTGTAACTCCGCCCTATGCCCTATGCACTTGAGTACGTACTTGAAGATACATGGCACGATGTTCAGGACCAGCTACATTGTCATCAGCAGCAATCTGAAATCCCATGTTCTTTACTACTGCACACGGCAACCATCAGGGCTGATAAGCCTAGACCTGAAAAATCCATAACTATGGAGCTGGGTTTACTGTTGGAGGCATATATGGGTAGTTGTCAAAATTATGGCTCCGTTATGGGTACCCTAAATATTAGGTGCCGTACTATATTAAGGAGCCAAAAAAGCAACCGCCCATATAGCAGAAGCCCCACGAGACAACTGAGTCTCAGCCCATAGGTAGCTGAGCACCTCTGCTACAAATAGTCGGGAAGCAATGCATCATGAAGCCACTCTCCAGGCCCTTGCCCTGAGGGGAGCTGCTGAAGAGCCTAGGATTGCAACGGCTTGCACCCGCACGCGAGAACATGCAAGCTTTCAAAGTTTGCACAGACCTCTGGTAAAGGAGGTTTACAAGCAGCGGAACGAGTGACTCATCTGGGCTGAAAGTCCCAGCAAGCACTGCATATACTGTACGTTACCGCATGCGGTGTTGGATTGAACCAGGACCGCGTCATCAAGTAGAGCAGCTTGCAGCGTGGCAGAGTTGGAAAGATTGAAGTTCTGCAAACTAAATGTGTGCGCATCGCCGTGTAGCATGTCCATACTGTCATTCAACGAATTGCCGGGGACAGCACTTGGTTGGATCTGACGGTGCATCTAGGGCTTGGGGACTCCGGTCGGTTTGGCGCAAAGAACTTGGCTTTGAGTTTTGCCCCGGAGATTAGGAGCGATCTTCAGCTCTGAGCCTTTCGGTGCTTCAGCTGAAGCCCTTACTTATCGCTTAGTCTTAGTCCTTGACCACGGAATCTGTCACTCAGGACTGAACAGAGCTGCACTACTCACTGCAAAGGCCAGACCTTAGCAAAACCGCGAGCTTGGCAAGGCATCGGCTCACTAGGCGCCAACCCGACAGCAGACTAACCCACAGCCTGGCGGCCGTGGGTTGTTGTAGGAAACTACCAGAGCCATGGGCGCCAAGATCTGGCCAAGCGCCGACCAGATGAGGATGAGCAGAGTCGAAGGATCTCCCCACTCCTCCATCACAGGCCTCAGAGACTCAGAAGGCTTCTGTGCCGCAGCTGTCCTAGCTGCTTGCTGGCAGATGTAGAACCAACACCTTCAGACCTACAGTAATTACTGCCGGTCTCCGCCAACCATGGCCTTGCAAGATACAGTGCCAAACCCTCGCGGCACCTCAAAATAGTATAGGCAATTATTATTAAGGCCCCTACATTACAGAATTGGATCCAGGCCACACCTCTGCACAGGCGCCATATGACGGCGCCGGCTCTTTGCTGATGCCTTCCTTCTCGGCTACGGCATCCCTTTCAGCAGCCGCCATTTGTGGCCAAAGACCTGGAAGAAGGGCGTGTTGAAACAAGAGCAAACATGGACAGTTCCATGTCTCTTAGGATGTCGAAACGAGCGGTCATGCACCTAAAAGGACCCAACGCAGACAAATTACCTGAATGACCCACCGCTCTGAAAGCCTTTCTAGCCAAGCCGCCGTGCTTCTCACGGACAGCGTAGATCGTACCCCACGATCCGTGGGGGCGGGCATGATGGGCTTAGAGACTCGAGCAGCAAACAGCAAAATGCCGACGCCTAAAGAACCGTTTACGTAAAACTACATTAGCGACAGCTTAGGCCGTCATACTTACTGAACGCTCCCGGTCGCTGGAGGCATGCAAGGAAGTCGTAAACAAGGCGTGGAAGCTACCCTGGACAAGTAGACAAGCTCTTTCGAAAACTACTATGACGTTTATTGCTATTCTTACTACTATTACTACCCTTACTACGCATTGCCAGTATTCTTGTCATTACTACCACTAGTGTTGCTCGTACTAGTCTTCTTGCTACTGTATATGAGGCATCTGCTTCTACGCCTCAGCCTTAGCCTCGCCATTTCCCAGTCAGGCGCCCCGGCCGCTTCGGGGTGCAAAGCTGGGGAGCCACAGGGACCTTGGAAAAGGCGCACCCTAAAGGCTAAATCAAACCCTAAATCCTAACCATGAACCCTAAATCCTAACCATAAACCCTAAATCCTAACCATGAACCCGAAACCCTTGGCAAAGGCACAAGGCTTGGGTTTCAGGGGGATTCAGGGATGAGGGGACTTGGGGACAACAAGGGATTGAGTGGATGAACAAAGGGATGAAGGGGATACAGGGATTGAAAACGATTAATGTGCAACTGTCCTTAGTGTCATGAGCCTCTATATCGCGTTTTATTTTGGGCTAATTCATTTCGCTGTTCCAAGTTTGGTGAAGTCGAAAACGTGCTTTTGCTTGTTGCTTTTGGCCCGGAATTTTCGGTGGGTTTGCATCGGCCCTTTCTGCTAATGGTGAATCTTAATTATTTGAGTAGAGGGTGAGGAACCTAAACCCCCAAACCCCAAACGCTGCTAAACAGCTCTAGGTACTCCTAAACTGCCGCACGGTGCTACTGTACTGCTTCATTACTACTGTACTACCACTCTACTACTGTACTTCGACTGTACTACTACCATTGCACTGCTACTGCACTACTGTGCCACTACTGTGCTAGTGTACCGTCTCTTTGCAAGTACTACACATTAAGGGAATTGCCGGAATTCAGGTGATAAAACTCGGTGGGCCTGACAGTCCGGAGCTGGGGGTTTCGACAGCAGGAGCTGCATGTCTGCATCGCAGTGAACGTGATTGGTGACCTGCATTCCTGGTTCACTAGCCAGCATCACCATCACCATCATCGTTAACAACGTCATCATCATTCATCAACAGCGTCCGCCGCCGTCTGCTCATCATCATCATCATCAGCATCATCATCTTCATCATCGTCACCAGCTTGACTTGTTCGTCACCATTATCACCATCACAATGCCCTGCCACACACAGGTATATTTGCACTTATGCGTGTATACATACTTACACGTATATACATGTATGTAACTAGACTTAGTAATTATTAGGTGCCTGCATGCATAGATATATATATATATATATACACACACATGCATACATGTACACACTAGGTAAGCAGGGTAGGCAAGCAGGCACGAAGGCCGCCCGTAGGTAGCTATCCAGCTTGCTGCTGCTGGCTTGATAGCTTGCTAGGTTCATAGATAGCTAGATGGATCAAGCAACCTAGTAGCACACCTAAAGACAGGTGCTGGACCAGCGGGGTGTTGAGTATAACAAGACGCTATGCACGATTGTTCAGTGCATGAAAATCAGGCAAGGACGTACGTCTGTAAACGTATGTGTAATTTATTGTACTGTATGTATGTGTAGAAATATGCAGTTATTTTTATATCCATGGCTACGAGTATGAACATGAGCACATGTATCTGGCTCTGTATGAGTATGTACATGTGAGAGCCTGTGTATGTGTAAGTACACGCGACCTGTATCGGCATCTATATGTGTGTGTATACGTACATATATGTTATATATATACATATCTAATCATATCTATAATATGCGTGTGGGTGTGTATGTATACGTGCATGCATATGCATATTATATGTATGTGCGTGTGGATGTGAATGTGTACATGTAAACACATCAAGTCACACATGCCATCTAGTAGTGGTATGCCCGGCAAATCTGCCTAAACCCTAAACCCAAGATCCTGAACCCGAAACTTGTACACTCGTTCGCAGTCGAGTCAACCACCCCGGGCTGCCGGGCCGTTAGGGCGGGTGCCCAAACTTGAGAAGACCTTGGCGTGACAGGCAAGGATGATCCTGTTGTTTAGCTAACCCCAAAACAGGGTTTAGGTCTCGAGCTGTGGGTCTGTTTTGAAATCAAGAGCTCACAGAGAGTCGTCCTGGGAGGAGTTGTGCATCTGGACCCTAAAACCTATAATTAACCTTAAACACTGAACCCTTGAAGAGGGGGCCCTTGCTACTCAGGGGTCTGCGATATCCGTTATCCGTCCTCCTCAGACTCCGAACGGAGGTGAGTCTGAAAGCAAGCGTAGCGCTTGCAAACCAGCTGCTGCTGCTAAGGTTAGTCTACGAGTAAGCTGGTGAGACTGACCCTCAACAACACCCACCACCACCACCAACAACAACAACAACAACAACAGCAGAACGAGCCCTCTACTACTGCCCAAATGCTGAACCTGCAGCTCTAGTGTCCTCTTTCTCCAAAATGACCCTTCACCAGCCTTCAGCGGCGGCTAAGGGCCCGGGCCCCTTCGGACGCAAAGACTTCGGCCAGGGTCTTCCCTGCAGGAATTCGGCACATGTTTTCGAGTGCTGTCAAAGGAAGAGATATGAGAGTCGCCGAAAATACGGGGTAGCTTCTGTTGGTGTCCTTCTCATAAGGATCCTACTATTTAGGGTGCTACAGTAAGGGTCCCTTTTTCGGCAACCCCCACATTGGCATTGTTGCTGTTAGCATATTATACGACTGCAGCCTCGGGCCTAGACACTGACATCCGAAGCTTTATCCTCTATCCTACACCCTAAACCCTAACCTGCACCGTCGAGTGCCTCGGAAGCTCTAGGTTACGGCTCTCCTGGGCAGCCTCTTTGGGAGGTCACCACCTGAGTTGAAACCCGAAAGCCCGAATCCTCAAGCTCGTAAGTAGGGTTTAGGGTTTAGGGTTTAAGCCTAATCAAACCTCACACCCTATAACCCCAAGCCCTGAAAACCTTCACACCCAAAGCCTTGAAACCCTCAACGGCGGCTCGTGGTAAGTCTGGCCTTGTCAGCAGAATCCGTCATTGCGGCCGTGCCTACAACAGGAGAGTCGTAGCCATGAGGGTGAGATCGTAAGTATTCTGAGCAAACGCCAGGGTTCTGGAAGTGTAGAGCGTAGGGTTGGAGTGGGAGAGAAGTCGGCAGGGTCAGAGACAGAAATGGAAGATGATGTGGCTCCTGTTCTGACAGTGTCGGAAGGGGCCTCCGTTTGTGGCGATGAAGGGACAGGCTACACCATGCACAGGACACCCAACAAAGCCGAATGTTCAGTTCTTAAGTCCTCCTGGACACTGCTTAAAGCGTCTCATATGTTCTCGCATGGTGCACATGTACACATACCGAGAACTGAATACACATAGCTTTACCACACGAGCGGGACAGGGAGAGAGAGAGAGGGAGACAGCGATATCTACACACTCTGTGAAGCGTAGAACTGAACTCAGAATCACGGTCCCAACTTTTGTCGGCATACACTCGCAGGCTGACGAAGAAGGCGCTGACCTGAATGCAGCGTCGGAAGGGCATGATTTCTGCTTAGTCTGTAGGGATTAACCACCACTAAGAGACTTGTCCAGCTACCCCCGCCCCACCGACTGTGAATGAAACCCACAGCAGCAGCAGAAAGTCTGGCAGGTGGCAGCAAGACGAGTCGCAAACTCTGATGAAGGCACGGAGCATGAAAAGTTCTCGTTCTTGACAACACATACAACCATTGTTCCTAATCTATGCTAAGACCTGTATCTATGCTATCTTGAGAACAGAAGGCCAACCCGCTCATATGCCGGCCTGTCAAAGACGAGAACTTCCTGGGCCGAAAGCCTCACAGGGCACTGTGCGGCAACAACTGTTGCCTCCGATCCGGGATATACCATAATATACTACAATATATTATACGAATTATACTATACTACACTATACCCTACCACACTACACTATACTACACTATACTACACTATACTACACTATACTATACCATACTATGATACACTATACTGCTGTACTATATTACAATGATTCGGGAACCAGATGCTCAATCTGGGGGCAATGGGGTTCTCTCAATAGCGGTAGACAGCAGCAGCGGAATCAGGAGCAGCTGCTGTTGCTGCCACTGTTATTTATGCTGGAAGCCATCATACTATTAGCAACTCAGTGCTCACAGAAACAATCGCAAAACCTCAAAACAAATGGAAACGGCGGAAGCGACAAGAATACTCAGACTAGGAAGCCGCTAGCAAAACCGGGAGCTGCAGTGGTGAGGAGAAAAATTCGCAACCAAATCTGTTCTAGTCCTTGCAAGTGTTGAAGCAAACGGAATGGACTAAACAAAGCGCGCAGCCTTCGTCATGATGTCGCAGCCAAGCGAGCACATCGCATTGAAAGCGCTGATCTGCGACTGAACCTCGTCACGCAGGAGCATGAAAAGATCTAATGTTGCTCAGTTTCCTAAGTCTTACTGTATCTCTCGCCAATGTCCCTGCCTTACGACAGCATCCTGCACAGCTCCGAAATTTGGTAACTGGGCTCGCGGAGTTTAGATTTTTTGTTGCATGCCACTTGACCCTTCAACTGCCCACAGGGCAAGCCCTGGCACCGCCTGCGCAATTCCTTCCTCTCGAAGATGCTGTGACACCATGTAACATTGAACATGTCTTCTGAACCCAAGGAGGATGCTTTTGCATCATGTACACGAAACATGATGGCGGGCTCGACCCGAAGCTCTGTGCGTGCAGACCGTGACACCAGCCAATCAACCCAAATAGCATAGATGGACAAACCGTCAACCGTGAAGCCCGAATACCCCAAAAGCATTGCATCTCCAACACCAGTTTTTTTGAAACTGCCCTGAACCGACGTCCTCTTATATACGAAAACTGCAACGACGAGTACTACGCAATTCAAGCTGCAGCGCCGGGACAGCCGAACAGCAACACCATTTAGCCGAAAACACGAAACCTCGTCTCATCATTAGGATATTAATTGGTTGTAAAAGGGATAAGGTTATGGATTTCGGTGGTTGCTTTGGTTTAGGGACTGTGTTTTGGATCTGTGTGTTGCTTGTGGTGAGTTACTTTGTTTCGGGGTTGCGTTTTGGGTAACTGCATTCGTTTTGGGAGGTGCTTTGTGGTTTGCGGGTTTGAAGGGTTGATTCATTAGGCGGTTTGAGAAACGAGGTGATATGTGTAAGGGGGGTATTGGATGTGAGGTGTGGGGTCAGCCATTGCTTGCTGATGCGCCCTTCACCAACTTCCAACTGCGAAGACTTTGCAGGGCCCGGGCGTCTCCGTGGGCGGCGCTCGAAGAGCCTTTGGCCACCCTGGCAGCAGCGCAAAGTTGGATCTGGGGGTTTGGCTTCGACTATAGTGTTTCGGTAAACGGGATTGGGGTTGAGGGTTTCGGGCTCATGTGCTTTTGCCACGCGGCTAGGTGTCTTGCACCAGAAGTTGCTGCAGGGCTGGAATCGCTGTCTCGATGAACCACGCTGGCATGCTGCAGATATTCGAGGGCTTGCGCCAGCTCTTGCGCAGTTTCCAATACTTGCATCAGCGTCCCTTGCTGCACCCTGGTTTCGCACGTGCTGTCTGCTAGATCCAAGGTATAGCCCGCGAGGACTTGGGTGTCGTACACATGGTGCACCTGCGCGATGTGAGGTGGACCAATCCCCACAACATCTCAGCATCTCGCAAGATGCCGTGACTGTCTTGGACAGCCTGCATCTCCCGAATTTCGAGAGGGCACCTTTTGTCATATTCCTGCGGCCTTTTGGCTCTCTTGAGAGCCACTCGGAATCCAGTCATCTTCCTTGCCCGGTAAACCATCGCTGTGGCCCCTTCACCTATGTGCTTCTCCACAGCAACCTTCCGAAGGCATTCTTCTATTTCAAGGCCTGGTTTCAGACAAGATTGCCTTGCGCTTCCATGGGTGAGATTACGTGCTCCTCGGCATTGCATCTACCTCGGACACGAAGAGGAAGGCTAATGCACTCTCCCGGGCCGCATCCTTCCTTTCAGCCTCATGCTGTACGACGTCGAGGACCGCCTTTGGTCTGGCCTTCCCAAGGCCCAGCCGTATTGGGGGTTAACTCAGGTACCCTCCACCTAATCCTCCTCCCAAAGTTTGGACGAACCCTTTTTGCGTTCATTTCCCACCCCGCTCCCCGCCAGGCCCGCCGTGATTTTGCCTGCTTTTTCCACCCTCCCCAACGGCCCGCCCCTTTTCCTGCCGTTTTTGGGGTTTTTTTGCACTCCGCGCAATGCAACTATGCGGTCGCGGGGTCTATGCACTATTTTGAACCGGTAATGTTGTTTCCTGCGATGAAACTCTCGTGGGACTGCGTGTGACTCCTGCCCATCTTCAAAAGAACGGTGATGGAACATCGATCAGTTTGCAGTCCCCCTGCGAGCATTGCAACAACCATGGGCCCAACTGCGCGCACTGGAATTCAAGCCCGGGCCTCAGGCTCTCCTAAACCCTAAACCCCCAAACCCCAAGTCTTCAAGGAAATCTCGAGCCTCATGGCCACGCCCTGGATGATGACCTCAGTGCGCTGGAGCCCTAAAGCTGGGGATACGGGTTTTAGCTTCGAGCAAGCCTGCATTCCGAGGCCGCAGAGTCCTCGGCTTCGCGTAAGTGGAAGTACTAAATTTCGGGCTCGGTGGAAGACACCCACCTGTCCGCTTGATTCAAAATGGAGTGAGTGTTCAATTGCAGGCTCACACCTGGCGACTAGTCTAGGACTAAAGATTCACAACTCCGCGAGCCTGCCTCTCGTGAATTTGCCTGTGACATTTCACTGTGCCAGGTTCCAGAGTTCAGGATGCGGTCAGTCGAAACACTACGTAGTACTACGGCAGGAGCGTCTCATGATCGTCCTGTTCGGGGTCAACATGACCACCATCATGCGATTCCTGAGCAGCATCAGCATTCATGTAACATACCGTTTACATCATAGCATCTTGGTCGTCACCGTCGTCGCTGTCGCATTCATTCAGCAACACCGTCGTCATCAAATTCGGAAAGCCATCACAACCCTCATGTGGAGATCATCGCCATCAACATACGTCGTCATCGTTAGCCCCGACATCGTCACCATCGTCATCACCGACATCAAAGTCACCATCGTCATCATCATCATCATCACCATCACCATCACCACCATCATCATCATCATCACCATCATCATCATCATTATCCTCGTCGTCGCCATCGCATAGCTCTCAGAGAACTGGCACTGTGTAGCCTAGTGGCAGCGAGTCGGAAGCAGGCGAAAGCCACATAGAAGCTCCAGTGGTCGATGGGGTAGTGGACCTTGAGAGAAGTGTTTCAGGGCTTCGGGGGGCAGTGGACCTTCGGGATCATGGCGTGCTGGACACATCCTGGTCCTAGTGTCACTCAATGCACCATCATCATCATCGTCATGGGAGTGCAAATGTAAAGGATTCGACGTCTGTACACACGGACATATTTGCAAGGTTCCGAAGCAGCGCGGGCGCCCTTTTGCTTTGAGAGCATGCTCGGGCGGGCACACCACCCCATGCGACTTCACGGCCTGTTGTTGAGGTGAGACAGGGCTCCAAGAAGAACACTATGAAGGCGATGGCGGCTCCGTCTGCTCACCAGCGTCGCTGATGTCTTGCCTTTCCTGCATCACACGGCGTTCCTGAAAAATTGACTGAGGTCCTGCAAACTGCAAACCAAAACTGAGTTCTGACTCTAACACAGGACCGCCATGCTTCAACCCTAAACCCTGCACCCAAGAGTCAGGGATCACATGGTCGCTAAAGTCCCACGAGAATCGAGAAGAAGCCTTATTTAATCAAATCAACCGAAAATGCCCAAGAAACACTTGCTGCGCAAGTCGGCCTCGTCATCGTCCACAGTCCTGGTCTCTGACACGAACCTGCAGGCAGGGGTGAGATACGACGACAGGGTGTGATTGCACGACCCTCGAGCTGGAAGATCACTCGATTAGAACTCCAACGTTCCTCATCACCGAAACGAGACGAAGTGAAGTCCGCTTATGCCACGACTATGCGCG